CATATTATTTTCACATAAGAAAATTGCTTAGAAATGAGTAGGGTGAAAATTTATATAGTCCATTATAATTTAGTTATCCAACATACAAATTTTGGGTGTTTTAGTTTATTACTCTACTTTCTATTTATATGAGATATTAAATACTATTTGTGACTCACTTGATTCGAACTAGGATTAGGTTCGAATTTGAGTTCAAAAATAAGCTCAGACAATTGAGTACCGTGGAATTCAAAACTATGCTTGCCTGAATTTCACTCAACTTGATTAAAACATAGTTATATATTAAATATTTAAAATTTATTTTTTTTATAAAAATAATTTTATTTTAATATAAATTTTAAATGAAATTTAAATAATCAATCCAACTCTAGTTTGCAAGTTTAATTCTATAATTCGTAAATCAAGTTTATAACTTTATATTCATAAGTTGAGTTCATGAGTCCAATTAAAACTCAAAATATTTTTTTGAAAATAGGTAATGGAAAAACTCAAAATATTTAAGTTCAAAACCTAAAAAACTTGGTAATATAATACTGAGCTTAAATTCAAAATTTGAGAAATTCTACTCAACTGATTTGGAGATATAACGGACTCAATGCAAATGTTTGCCGTTGACCATTTCTCGTAAAAAGAGACAATCGGTTGTACTTTTAAAAGGTAACCTAATAATTTGAATGGATATTTTTCTAAATAACCTCCTGAACAACTCATTCGTCTCTAAGAAATCTATCAACTACTTGATTTGATCAATTAAGGTCACGGTCAGCTGATTTGGTCCTTTTGACTAGTATTGTTTAATTTATTAATTTACTTAAAGTTACTATTTCTTTTATAAAGTACAAATATTAAAAACTAACGTGCACTTACCTACAATACAGTAAAAAATAACAATATTAAAAATGATATAATTATAATATTACTTATTAAAATTTTTAAATTATAATAGTGATAAAGTACGCGTCAATCCTACCTAAAAAAAATAAAGGAGTCTCAACCAAAACAACGTCGTTTTTCTCGAAAACCTAACCTTTACTGTTTGTCATTCCTCTCAAAAACCCAACCCTTGCTGTCGCTCCTTCTGCAATTATCTCCATCGTCATTGCCTCCTCACCTCCTTGAGTCCTTTGATTCCTTCAATTTTTCAAACACAATCCCACACCGTCGACTTAATCTCTAGCACCCAGTATTTTTGCCCCACTTTGTCGCTGCAATTCATCATCTCCATCAACTGTAATCGAAGGACGGTAAGTGATTTGTTTTCTGCAGTTGATTCTTGGAATCATTGAAAATCTCTTAATGAAATGCATGACCAAGAGATGGAGATGATTGCAGAAGGGGTGAGAGCAGGGGTTGGGTTTTTGAGTGGAATGACGAAGAGCAGGGGTTGGGTTTTTGAGAGAAACGATGCTGTTTTTGTTGGAATTTCAATTTTTTTTTTTGAGATAGAACTTATGTGCATTTTACTATTATAATAATATGATAATATTAAAATAATAAGTACATATAATGTTCTATGTGACATTTAATAAAAAAATTAATTATATAACAATACATTAAAATGCATTTCGTTTAATAATTTTAAAGGATCTTTCATTATTTTATGTAGTATCTTTTAAAAATACATTTATTATACTTTTTACTATTAATTTATATAAAAATTTTAAAAATAAATATTATTTTTAATATTAATATCATATAAAATAATTTAATTAAATTATTAATAAAATTTAAATTAATTTTTACTTTTTATATAAATTAATAAAAATACAATAAATGAATCCTCAACTTATGCTCACATATTAAAAATTTTTTAATTTAAAATTATGCAGTCTTGTTTACACAAACATTTTAATTTTAATTTTTAACAAGTACAGACTTATAGAAAAGAGATTTAAATTTAACGTTGATGACTAAAAATTTACCTATAACAAAAATTTATACTCATTTAACCTTATAAAGCACGTGCCATTCAATTATGCAGAGTAGTAGTAACTCAGAAATAAAGGCAGAACTAATTATGGAGAGCTATTGGGTAGAGCAGTGATAATTTCCAACATAAAAGTTCTCACCAAACGTAAAAATCGAGTGCTCCAATTCTCCTTGTCCCAAAATGTAACAGTACTAAAAAAGAGTTTATTTTATTGGTTTTGATTGTATAATGAAAAGTAATTATCTTACATTTTTTATTTTGTTTCATTCGTATATTGTGTTATTCAAATTCAGAATCTCTTACTTTTAACGAAAAAAAGATAATTACTGAATTATTTAGATCGTTAATAAAAAAAAAAGTTTATTTAACTTATATTTTAAGTATAAATTTCAAATATATTAAATATATTTGTTTATAAATTTATATTAAAAAACTAATTTATTAATTATTAAATTAAATTGATTTAATATTAAAATTAATATTAATTTTTATATTTTTTTATAAATATTTATTATAAAAAATACTTTAAATCTATATCTTAAAAATATATGTTAAAAATTTAAAAAAAAAAAAAAAACCGATGATGACATTTTTGTTTTTTGTTTTTTTACCAGGTAGATGGTTAGGAAGTTAGTAGAGTTAGTTTGTTAGCAGTTAGAATTTTTTCAAGAAAGTAAACATTCCACCTCCTCATTTGAGGCGCGCGACTATTAGGTTGCAAGTTGGTAGAGTTTACAGCGGTGGCAGAGCTCGAAGCCCTGACCTCCGCCTCACCCAAGCCCTAAAGCTTGTAGCCCAACCAATCGGGCCACATGCCCGTTCGGCGATGATGACATTTTTGTTAAATTTGCGCCAAAAAAGTCTGATTTGCAAAAATAAATAAATAAATAAATAAAAGTTATAAAACCTGGGGCAACCTCATCTGTCTTTCTATCCATTCTGACAGTCGCAAGTGACTGTCTTCATCTTCCTCAATCCTCGGCGCCCCTCCGTTCTTTCCTCCGTAACACACAGTCATGGGCTCCATTGCTTCTCCCTTTGTTCTACTATCCCTTCTTCTGCTTCCGACCTTACTTGTTAACGCTAAAAAGACTTACATTGTTCAAATCAAACACCAAGACAAGCCAGAATCCTTCGCCACCTACCACGACTGGTACGCCGACAGTCTCCAATCTCTCTCCTCGTCTCCTGATTCACTCCTCTACTCATACACTAGTGCTTTCCATGGCTTCGCTGCCTCTCTCGATGACGAACAAGTCGAATCTCTTCGGAATTCTGAATCTGTGCTCGGGGTGTATGAAGACACTGTCTACACTCTTCATACCACTCGAACTCCTCAGTTCCTTGGTCTTGATTCTCAATTTGGCCTCTGGGAAGGCCACAGCAACCAGGACCTTGAACAAGCTTCCGCAGATGTTATTGTTGGAGTTCTGGATACCGGAGTTTGGCCAGAATCTAAGAGCTTTGATGACACTGGGATGCCAGAGATTCCTAAAAAATGGCGTGGAGAGTGCGAGTCTGGTCCGGATTTTAGCCCGAAGCTTTGCAACAAGAAGCTAATTGGGGCGAGGAGTTTTTCAAAAGGCTTCAACATGGCTTCTGGCGGCGGAATTTCGAAGAACCCGAAGGAGGTCGTGTCCCCACGTGACAGTGACGGTCACGGGACTCACACGGCAAGCACGGCCGCCGGTTCCCAAGTGGCCAACGCGAGTCTCCTCGGTTACGCCCGTGGTAATGCTCGCGGGATGGCAATCCACGCACGTGTCGCTGCCTACAAAGTATGCTGGAGCGATGGGTGTTTCGGCTCGGATATTCTCGCGGGTATGGATCGAGCCATCCTTGACGGCGTTGACGTGCTCTCCATGTCCCTTGGAGGTGGATTCGCACCGTACTACCGTGATACAGTTGCTATTGGCGCTTTCACTGCCATGGAGAAGGGTATTTTTGTCTCCTGCTCGGCCGGCAACAGCGGGCCCGAAGAGGCTACCCTTGCCAATGTGGCACCCTGGATCATGACCGTCGGGGCAGGAACGTTGGATCGAGATTTCCCTGCTTACGCCTCGCTAGACAACAATGTCCATTATACCGGCGTCTCGCTTTACAGTGGCGAAGGGATGGGAAATAAACCGGTGCCGTTGGTTTACGACAAAGGAGCGAACAGTTCGAGTAATTTGTGTTTGGCCGGCTCACTCGACCCGGCTATGGTCCGTGGAAAGGTGGTGGTTTGCGACAGAGGAATGAACGCACGTGTGGAGAAGGGAGAAGTGGTGCGGGACGCCGGAGGTGTGGGAATGATACTAGCGAATACCGAAGCCAACGGTGAGGAATTAGTGGCCGACAGTCATTTGATACCAGCCGTGGCGGTGGGGAGGAAGGTGGGTGACATGATCCGAAAGTATGCACAATCCGGTCCAAATCCAACGGCGGTGCTTGCTTTTGGTGGGACTGTATTGAATGTAAAACCATCTCCGGTGGTTGCTGCTTTCAGTTCCCGGGGACCCAACATGGTGACGCCGCAGATCTTGAAGCCGGACGTTGTTGGTCCAGGGGTTAACATCCTGGCTGCCTGGTCCGAGGCTGTCGGCCCAACGGGCTTGGACAACGATACCCGCAAAACCCAATTCAATATCATGTCAGGTAGTTTCCTCAACGGTCATTTTTTTGGCAACTTCTATTTGAAAATGGTATTGTCATAATATTATTTAAATTATAAATTTATAATTATAAGGCATTATTATATAATAAGTTAAAAATTATATATATAATTTTTTTATATTATTTATATAATATTTTGATTATTCATCTTTTTACTTTAAAAAAAATAGAGAGATAAAAGAAATCCCAATTTTATAGAAGAAATATAAATGGTCAAAATTTTGTATAAATAATATATATATAAATTATATATAAATAAATTTTGACTCTTTATAATTAACTCATTTTATTTACAATTATCAACTCATTTAATAATTTATTACGATTATAAACTTATAATGTCACGCAACTTTATAACTATATCATTTTCCACTTCCATTTCATTTCATATCATGGTGTTCTATATTTATTGGTTTTTAACCACCTTGTCCAAATTTAATTGGAGAATTTGAATTTGAGAACTTAGGTACGTCAATGTCGTGCCCGCACATCAGTGGGTTAGCTGCACTGCTTAAGGCTGCGCACCCAGAATGGAGCCCAAGTGCAATCAAGTCTGCACTCATGACCACAGCCTACAACCAAGACAACACAAATTCCCCTCTCCGGGATGCTGCTGATGGATCCGTATCTAACCCATGGGCTCATGGCGCGGGCCATGTAGACCCGCAGAAGGCCCTCTCCCCGGGTCTAGTCTACGATATCTCTACTGAAGAATACATTACATTCCTCTGCTCGCTCGACTACACCCTGGAACATGTCAAGGCCATTATCAAGCGCCCCAACTTCACCTGCTCGACGAAGTTCAAGGACCCTGGTGAGCTCAATTACCCGTCGTTCTCTGTTGTGTTTGGAAACAAGAGGGTCGTACGATACACTCGTACTTTGACAAACGTGGGCTCAGCTCCATCTACCTACAATGTGACCGTGGGTGGGCCATCAACCGTTGGGATCGCGGTAAAGCCCACGAAGCTTGTGTTCAGGAGTGTTGGAGAGAAGCAGAGGTACACCGTGACATTTGTTGCAAAGGGCACAAACCCAACAGCTAAGGCTGAATTTGGTTCCATCGTTTGGGTCAACGCCCAACACCAAGTGAGAAGTCCAGTTTCATTCTCATGGACACAGTTATAAGATTGAGGATATTTTCTGGGTAAAAACACTAGTTTGCTTGAATAAAAACTGGTGTAAACCCCTCCATTCACTGAGGAAAGGCCGGTGTTTCTGGAGCTTGCAGTTCATGAGAAGAATTGGGATTGATTGTAGTTTGATATTTACTTTATTTCCTTGTATTGTATAACTAATTTTAATAGAATTAGATTATACCAATTTTAAGACAGTGTTATGGTCAGAGCAGAGACCGTTACAATTTTTCTTTCTTGACAAGAAACAATTTCATCTGGAAAAACAAAAATGATGCGCTAATTCCACAATGCACAAGCAGTGTTATATGTAAGGGAAGAATGGAATGGAATATCCAGGGATCAAAGCTTTACTCCAGAAATGCGATAATATGTTAGAAGAATAAACAGCATGGGTTACAACAGCAGGATTTTTTACAGCTGCAACAAAGGCGCACCTTTGGACATTTAGGAAAAGAGCATTTGAATCTGCAACAAGAACAATCTGGGCACGAAGGGCACCCAAAATTGCAGCAGCAGTTGCAGCGGTTTTGGTTGCATGACTTCTTAGGACAAGAGCAACACTGCCATTTTGGTAACGAGCAGCAGAAACAAGAAGTGCAGTCACATAAACAGCTGTTACACGGGATGCAGTTGGTGCAAGGATTAAAGCTGCAGTTGGTGCAAGGATTACAGCTGCAGTTGGTGCAAGGATTACAGCTGCAGTTGTTGCAAGGATTACAGCTGCAGTTGTTGCAAGGATTACAGCTGCAATTGTTGCAAGGATTACATCTGCAATTTTTGCAAGGATTACAGCTGCAATTTTTGCAAGGATTACTGTTACAGCTGCAATTGTTGCAAGGATTACTGTTGCAGCTGCAATTGTTGCAAGGATTACTGTTGCAGCTGCAACTGTTGCAAGGATTACTGTTACAGCTGCAACTGTTGCAAGGATTACTGTTACAGCTGCAGCACTGTGGGCATTTCAGGCGGCAAGAGCACCCGGGGGAACAGCAGCAGCAACAAATCCATGACAGGTTAAAGCAGGGCATTCCACTGGAGAAAAAAAGAAAAAAAAAAACCGAATTCATTATGTAAGCACAAGTGTAACACGTACATATATGAGATGCTTTGGAAATAAATATAAGATACAAGACTAAAGCTCTAGAAAAGTATTAACTTCAAGTAAAACAATAAGCATTAAGCATTTATGAAAAAATAATCAAATTCTTAACCACATAGAAAAAAGCACAAGGCAGTGGCTATAAGAAAATGTTACCAGAGCCACTTCCAAAAGCGACATGATTTTCTTCGGCTCTTTCTGTTTCTGCTTGAAAGAGAAAAAAGAAGTTAAGGATCAAAACCTTGTCGATGACCCCATCAATTGATGAAAATAATGACCACTAACAGCATTCTTACGTAGGTATTAAAGGATCAGACTTTGCCGTGACAAAATCAGTAATCCTGCAACAATAGCAAAACCATCTCTAACCAATTGATCAATTACCTCTATACAAACCCAGAAGGGAAAAATGAATTGACATAGAAATCTCCAATCACAAAAATTAACATACTCTTTGCAGCATTTGGAAGCCGGTTGAAAACCATCAATCGATTTTAATTCGTCCTGCTCAAATATGGCTTTGTCAATAACTTTTCAACACTAACACTTGAAAGAAAATAATAAGAAAGCAAACCGAAATGGCTGAATTTTAGGCTGAATTCTATGCAATAAATACATGCAAGAGAAACAATGCAGCAACTGCATTACCTCTAGGCACTAGCATAGGGTAACTGACCATCTGAATATACATTCTATTCAGATCCATTCTTAAAATCTAACCACATTTTAGATTTTACCTATTATATAGGAACAATATGAGTATGAAATCAAAAATTAATTGATAATAGGTGGAGCAAATAGCACATATTACATTTAAATATACATATTTCTTCTAAATCTTTCTGTATGAAATTTTCTCCCCTAACAACAATGACAATAGACAAATGAAAAATAGAACACAAGTATTGCAAAACAAATTAAATCAAAATGAGTCATAAATAATAAAATATAATAAAGTACAAGTCCATGTTAAATCAAATCTGTCCATTCAAGATTTGGAATCAAATTAATTAGTTTTAAGTTCTATCTAAAAAAGGAATATACTAAAAAGTCTGTGCAGATCTAGAGGCAGAGCCTGACCTGCATCAACTCCTCAAGCTAATATATCTGAGAACAGTAACAGCTCTTAATTTTATGCCATATTTGGCCCCTTGCCAGTTACAGCTACCTCACAGCTAAAATTACCATGCAGAGTAAAAAAAACTTTTTACCCATCTCAATCAAACACCATTCAGTGGTTTTGTAGTTTCGTTCATTTTCATGCTTGGATTTAAAGCTTTTGATGTCACCTGTACCTCCTCTTCCAAAGCCATCAAATTATTGACAAATGCATAATCATCAACTCACCAAAAGCTTTTTCTCCACTTTGGACAAGAAAAAACTTGAAAATAAATCATTAATTTGGTTTAAGTAGTAAGCAGTACAGTGAATTTTGTGAAAAATGCAGAGTTGAATACCTCTATCTACATTTTGGTACAAATAATTTCAAATTTGAGTCCAGTGTTTTACAGTACTGCATCGAACTGTAAAACATAAAAAAAAAAAAAAACACTTTGTTGTTCAAGTTTAATGCCTTCTTACTCTGTTGTGGCTGGACAATTTGCAGGTACTTTTATGTAAAATCTTAGAAGAAAAAACAGAAATTTCCTCCACTTTGTTTTCGAATTTCAAAGCTCAAACTCCTAATCCAAACAAAAATATTTGCATTGTTGTAAAAGTTGCATAAGAATTAGTAACAATTTGCCAAATTTAAAATCCCACCTGGAGAAAACCAATCTCTCTCTCAAGCATCTGAACCTTGGCCATTCCCCGGCGTTTCCCATACAAATCAGGGTACTCTGGTGGAGACTTGGGAGAGGGCGAGAGCGGGGATAGCGGCAGCACAGACGAGGATCCTCCTGGAGGGGCAGCCATTGCCTGTGACCCACAGCTGAAAGAGATGCTGACTTCCTAAAATCCACAAGAACCCAAAACAGAGTAGGAGTAAACAAATAAACAAAATAAAAGGCAGCCTCTTCTCTTCTAGTAAGGAACAAAGGAGAAGCGGCAAGCTATGGTAGGTTCGAATGCCAATATGAAAAAAGAACCAAAAAAAAAAAAAGCTTATTTTTTGGGGAAGAGTTTGCAATTAAAATACTGAAAAAGACAGAGCAAAAGTACAATAATACATAATGAAATTAAATGTTGGAGGTAAAGGGTTTTTCAAAAAGATCAAAACTTTTTGGAGGAGGAAGAAGAAAAGATTAATGGGTATCCGAGGGAAAGGGAAATGAAGGTGAAAAGGAAGCCATTATTGAGGAAGGAGGAGGAAGACCTGGTATTTCAGGAGAAACAAGCAAACCCTTTGTGCATGGTAATAATGATAGGTGCAATAATGGTAAAGACGGCTGTGAAAAAGCCTGCAAGTCTGAACCCATTTAAGCAGACGTTCAGAGATTTCGATTTTTTTCTGAAATTTATGAGGGGGGTGTTTTGCAGTTTTTGTTTATAAAAAAAATGGAAAAACAGGGAAAACAGAGTGTTTGGTTTCGAAGTTTGGGGTGGGTAAGGTCTTGCAGGAGCGGAAAGCACGATGGACTACCTGAGATGGGCACGTGCTGTCTGCGTAGGAAAGAGAAAGCGTTCCAAAGTCTTGTGTTTTGGGGTTTGGATTTGATTGTTCAATAAGTGATAGCCGAGGAGCAGGGCAATGGTTTTGGCCGCCCTTAGGAGCGTTAAGGTAATATAACTTTTTCATATATTATTTTTAAGGGTTTTGCCTAATTTGTATTTTTAAGTTATAAGTTAAAAATATAATAAATATATTTTTTATAATTAATATATATTAAAATTTATAAAAATTAAAATATATTTTAATATTATTGATATATAGATAATTTTAATTGATTAATTAATTAAATCAAAATTAATATATTTATATACACTAATTTTTAATAAATAATTCAAAAAAAATTTAAAATTTTGACTTCCTATTCCTAACATGAATTTCCTGCTCCATCGTGGGGACTGAGGAAGGATAAAAAATACTTGTCTGTGAGAAGTCGGTAATGATGAAGGTCAACAGAATGGCGTGGGGACAGACAACTCAGAAAAGCGGAGTGAGCGTGCGATGTTTCGGCAGATTTTGCTGAGACCTCGATTGGCGCCGCTATCACCGGCTACATCGTGTGTAACGTGATAGCTGGGAGACACTTCACGGTTGACACCAACAATCATATGCTTGGCCCCTTTTATTTGGCTCTATTCAGAATAATTTGCACTCGAATTGTAAAGGGGGAAACCTTGCGATTAGCTTCTAATAATTTTTTATAAGGATTTTTTAAAGGGAAAAAATCCCTTTCAAAGATAGAAATGGTTTGCCTCAGGTAATAATTTTATTTTTTTCACGAGCTAGGCTTATTATTATTATTTTTTGTGGCGACAGCATGGTGGGTCAAGGTGTGGTTTCTTCTTTGTCAAATTCTTTCGTGGAGGAGAAGCAGCCAATGAAGGTACCAAGGGTGGTAGGGCAGGTGGGGCAGTATCTTGGTATGGAGAAGGAGTGATTGCTGATGGTCGCGATTTGTCGAGGAATAAGGCGGTGGATCAATGTTGTTTAGGATGGCTTGATGTCAATGGGAAGGAAGCAGTGGACAGTGTTTTGAAATCGATTTGGAAGTTAAATC